AAAAAAAGAAACAAAAATATATATAATAATGTTTTTTCTGTCTTTTAATTGTAATCTATAAAAAATAATTGGAAAATTTAATATTTAAAAAATTAAAATACATATAGATAGTTGCAATTCGTTTTAAAATGGCTTTTAAATTTGCCTATAGTTTTACGAATAATATCTCTATTTATATATATATACCATATTTTTTAAGCAACTACTTTTTTCAAGCCAATATCTATATCATCTAAAACTCCAACATTAAAGAAAACCTCTAACTTGAAAAACTTTCCTTCAAAACAAACTTTTTTGTAATCGATATTTACATGAAAGTAAATAAAATATATATGTGTCTGCCTAGTGGGGCATATAAACGGCATTTAAAGGTGTTATAAGTGCGCGCAGCCATGCATCCGAGCCGATTCAACTTTGTAGCGCGTTCGACGATATAATTTCGTATCGAACTCGCGAATGTTGATTCCCAAAATCCGTGTCATTTTTTTAATATCATAATACATATCTATAAAAACTATTGAAGCCAGACAAACGAGTGCTGTTTTTTTTGGCGGGACGGAGCAGTACAAAGTGCTAAAGAATTGGAAACGTGAAACTTTGCTATTTTTTTTTTTTTCTCTCTCTCTCTCTCTCTCTCTCTCTATTCTCCGTTTTGTAGTGGCTGTTTTTTTCCGCAAGTACGAAATGTGATTTGCTTTTATTTCCGTGACAAAGTTTTAATAGCATTTTTTTTGGACTGAAATGGAATGGTAATGAAGGCATTTATAAATATTTTGAGCGAGCTGCACGAAGGCATCCAAAAAATCATTTGACACCACAAACAATCGAAAGACCAGAAGGAACAAGAGAAAAAGTTGTTTATATCAATTGTGTTTGGGATCTGAAATCGGTCAGCGCAGGACTAAATATTTTTTTTCAATTGTTAAGCCTTAGCTTATGCAGGATTGAACTATCCTGCCATTTGTAGGCTTTTTTTGGTGAGGATTGTCCGCATCGAAGACAATTAGAGCACACGCTGCTCTATTGCCAGACTCAAGCGGAACTGTTGCAAGCCACAAGAGATAATTATCTGAGCGTTATTGAGGAGTTTCGGCGTGATCTGGAGGAGCTAACCGAACAGGTGCAGCAACAGCAACAACAAAACGAACAGCATTTTTTTAAGGAAATGGAACAAAGTTCCCATGAAGAACCGCCACGAATTGTCACAAATGAATTTTTTTTGCAAGTTAGAGCTTGAAATAGAATTTACTAATGATAAAAGCTTATTATAGGTGTTTTTTTTTTTGTTTTTGTTTTTTTAATTACAGGGTATTTATTACTGAACGTTAATTTATATTTTTTTAAAGTTCTCGTTTTTTACTAATTTTTAATTTTCCCATCATTTTATTATTTATCTATTTATTTTTAATATTGTAATAATATTATAATAATGTCTAATGATAAATTCATGGATATATAAATTTTTTATAGCAATTTTTCAGCTCTTCTCTTACAAACATTTATCCCCCCAAAATAGCATTTACTAATTGTGTAAACAGGGGTTCTATATTCATATTCGTTCTGCTATAATTTTTTGACACTTCACTTCACATATATATTA